GTGGGCAGCCAGATAATCACGTCGCACACCGAAAAGGTGGAGGTGTTCTTCCGGGCAGAGAATCCTATACTCCTGCTACTGAAGACCCACTTTAATTAAGGTTTCTGCGCTCAGCACTCTGACCACGCCTCGAGCATGCCTGAAATGGCCAAAAAGGGGCTGATGCAATCTGCAAGTGGACAAAACTCAACAGTGGCAAAGTCGCTTCTCAAAATCAGAGGGAAAGCTTGTGACAGCAGTTTTTTCAAATCCCATCGTAAATATCACTTTTTATTCAGCTATTATAAAAATAAGAAGTGATAAGCTTCCTTAAAGATTAACAGAAAATATTTTGTACGATATCCGTATTATACCAGTTAGTCGTAGAGTAAAATGGTATATTGTATTCGTTTAAAAAGTATGTAGAGGGTAGAATAAAGTGTTTCCGATCCTATAACATATATATTCTTTATCAGGATTAATAGCCGCTTTGTTATATTTAAAAAAACAACACGATCTATTTTAAAATATTCAAAGTCGTATTTTCCAAATAAAAAAAGTTAATAGTTGGTTAGCTTTTATCTCATCTTTAATTTTTTTGACTTAAAATAATCACAAACAAAAAAAAAACAAATATAAATTTAACAAGTTGGTCGTTAATAAAAAAAATCCCACCAACTAAAATATAAGGGGTAATATGGTATAAACTCAAGCATAATTAGAATTACTTTTTCTTGTTAACTAAACTAAAGATTATTTAATATATTTAACTAACATTTTTTGAGGTTTGATAAATTGTATCCCAATTCAATGTCAAGTCTTTTACGAATCAATCATCAGCGACTGATAAAGAGCATGCCGAGTTTGCTTTCCAGCAGCCACATTTGGCCCTTTGTGAGTGTTCAAATGCAGCTGCCAAAAGTTGCCTTAACTTGAGCTTACTGTGTGCAGTTTCAGTTTATTTCTGGGGCATTTAAGTGACTGGCCGCCTTTGCAGGGGTTACTTCGGATGCTCTTCTTCGCTGCTTGAGCTGCAGCGCCTCCTGTCCTGATCCCTGAAGACTGGAAACCCTCCGGCTACAGAAAGTAGTTGCTGGCTGCCTTTGACGGGCCACGGCTGGGAACTTTTTTCTGGCTTTCGCTGCTAGGACGAGTGGAATGTCGGCCAAACTAACACATCCTGACACAAGTCAAGAAATTTATGAGCTGTAACGTTGGCTGGAGCTGCTGAGTGCCGACGGGGATGCGAATGTGAATTTGAATGTGTTCGTTGGACTTTGGACGTTGGATGTGTGTGTGTTGCCAGGCGTGTGGGGCTTTTGGCTTAATTGAAATTTAAACGTTTAACCCTCGGTGTCAGTAGTTAAACCCTTTGTTTTGGCAGCTCAGCGTTTCATGCATCTGACACTTGGCCATTTCAATTTTTTCGGTCACTAGATGTTGTAACAACTAAATCGTGTTGAGTGCAGGCAGTGCCCACTGTACACTCAGCTGGCCACGATTGTCGAATCGAAAACCAATAAATGCTGAGGGAATCAACCCAATTATGCCACCGAACTTTTGTAAACTTCACCTGCTGATTGGACCAGCCAGACACGCAAGTGGAGGCATTAAGCTCCAACGCATGAGCCAGCAAGTGGCCATTTTGGCTGTCATGGCAACTGGTTGGCCACCACAATAACACGGAGCATGCACCAACCGCACCACCGCTCAGCCCATCTGACCCCCCCTATCCAACCCCCCACACACTCACATGCTCACCTGCGAGCCAGTTCTGCCGGAGATTCCAGTAGTGCCTGGCCATGTCCAGCGCCACTTGTTCCCGCTTAATAAAAATTTGTGCAAAATTTGTGTAATAAACGCGAATTCCAAAAGTGAAACAAATCTGCTGTCGACAGCAACTCAAAGGCCACCGCAACAGCAACAGCAGCAGCAGCAGCAACAAAATTCTGAGCTATGCGAAAATGTCAAGCATTTTGTGTGTGTGTGTGTTTCGTTTTTGTATCAACAGCCCGTACTAGTGGATTTTTTTTTTTGGTTGTACACTAGATGCATGCCTGCAGTGGACAGTCCGCGCACGCTCGCTCTTTCAACCAGCTTTGCCATCCGGAATGCTTTGAGCCGGAGCGGAATTGGCCGGGATATGCTTTTGGCCGGCTCTCTCGTGATTAACCTGCAGAATGTCAAAGCCAAGCCAGGATCGTGAGGTGGCTAGGTGACTGAAAGTGCCAGCGCCAGCGTTGGGAGTCGCACACAAAAAGGGACTGGCGGCATTCCCATCCAACGTAAACAGTTTATTTCATCGGCTGCAAAAGCTTCTAGTGTATTACACAGGGAAAAATCTTTAATGAATCCAAGTCATCGGGAGGTTCATCGGAATTTTTTTGACATTTAATGTCCAAAGCATTTTCCTAGGTTATTTGAAAACTAGGTTCTTTTGGCGCCTGAAAGTAGAAAATTGTCTTATTTAACCAAGTTCAAGACATTTTTGTAGACTTAAAATGAAGTGATATGTTTTTCTGATACTTATTAACTGTATAGTGTACACATATGTTTGTGCATGAAGGCAAGAAAGAACATTACCGATTTTAAGTGGTTTAAAATTTTTACAAATCTTATACAATTAAAAATCTTATATAATTGTTTTAAAACTAATTTCAATACCTTGCTTTAGACTTCACATTGAGTGACTGATTTTTTTATTTGCTTTGAATGAGTTAAATTACAGGGTTTCTTTATGAGTTTTGTACTCAGAGGGGATAGCTTAGGCATAATTCATTATTGTAAGAAGTTTTCAAAGATTATCAAAGTAGTTATTTATAGTATAGAATATTTTTGGACATTACTAAACAAGTTTTGTAAATTGTTTAAGCTTAAAAAAGAAAGCAGCGATAAGTTATGTATATATTGTATATTTTTTCCTGACTGTCCTTGCTTTCGCTTTCCTGTGGGCTCTGCCGACGTGGATGGCGGAGTGGCTTTCCAAGTGGTTTTTCAATGAAGTGTTAAGTGGGCAAAACTGCCTGGCTGGTTTTGTCCTCTCCATCGCGCGAGTGTGTGTGTCCTTAACTGCTTTAGCCAGGCTACCATCGTGGGTTGTGTGCTTAGTTGTCGCTAGATTCTCTCTCTCCCTCTCTCTCTCTCTCTCTCTCTTACCTGGCAAATAGAGCTGCGGTTTGTGCACACCTCGCATCCAGGCTCCTACCACCACGCCATTGTTTGATGGTGGTTATAAAGCTGACAGCTGTCAGTTGGCAGTAAATTTGCTAAAATGTTTATTTGCCAAGCGGCCAAGTTTGCGTTTAACAGCAACGAACACACACACACACACGCACACGCACTCGAACACACACACATCCCAATGGGCGGCCACCGCACAATCACAGACGTTGTGTGAGGCCACAAGGATAGATTCAAGCAGGGCCAAGGACCACTGCCCAAAGGGCCATTTCGAGTTGGCCAGGTTTAATCATTTATAAACAGCTGCAGCAGGAGCAGCAGCAACAAATATGCGAGCTATTCCTGGTGGCATGGCAGGCATGACAAATGTTTTGGTACTTAATAATAGAATAATTATGGCGACACCATACTATAAAACGGCTTAATGATTATGATGCCCATATACACATTGCCATGCAAGGCAGCAGGGGTAACACATGCTTCTGTGTTTGTCCGTATTGTGTTTGGGCTTAATTGCCATTTTGCAATAATGTGATTCAGTCCGCAGTCTGGTTACTCATTGTCGTTGCCCTTGAAGCATTTAGCCAAGTTGCATTATCTGGGCCATTGCCGGGTGCCACTCAATTTTCTCGATTGGCCAAAAAGTTTTCCCGTCATGGCCACTCTAACACTGGCAAAAACATACAAAATTTGTTGAAATCGATTATGATTATTTTTTTAAAAATAAAAACGTTGTAACTGAACAAATTTATAAAAAAAATTGTTGAAACAAAGTGTCTACTTCGCCTATTGTCTTAAAAATACACAAAACAGTAAAATGTATTTTTTTTTTCATAAAACTACGTAAAGCTTTCAAAAAATAGGTTCAGAGTTGAATCCTCACTTTTTTGGATGTGGATTTCCGCCGCCTTGTCATCATTCTCCGCTACGCCAGCTAATGGAGCTCAAACTTCAAACTGGGAGGTAGGGAAAAGTAAAATTTTATTGCACTTCCCGACCAACTGCTGCGAGCCGCGTCTCTTTTTTATTATTAATTTATTAAAAGCCCGACGCCTGTCGTCTGCCCGTGGCTTTCAGCTGGTTCGCCTGGGATGTTCAACGCCTCGTAAACCTTGCCAAAATCATCACCAACTGGCAACTAGTAATGGCAGTAGCGGTGGCAGTGGCAGAAAATGAAATGTAAATCCCAGGCGGAAGGCGGAGAAATCGCCTGAAAGGCAACAAACGAGTCGAGCTTAATGCCCGGCAATCGCCATCAATGAGCCTTTCCACTCGCAATCCAATTCGCATTCGCTTTTGAGCTCTTGTGTTTATATAATTTAATTTCGAATTGCAATCAGCTCGATAGGTTTTTGCAGATTTCCTACCGTCTTTTTTCGTTTTTCGGTTTTTATTTTTGTATTCGCACGCGGAATTGGCTTGAGCACCTCGAAACGCATTCATATGATTATTATTTGTGGCTTAAAATAGGCAAGGAATTTCCGATCGACTGCGGTGGCGTTTTTCGAAAACTATTTTCCACGCGATTTAACAGCCAAATTCACTTTGATATCGCGTAAAATGTGCGGCGCTTATGTGTGAAAAGGGAAATTTAAATCAAATGCAGAGACAGTGAATTTTTCATAGCATACTTAAGCGGGCTACGCGCCGCGGTCCTGTCAACGCCCTTCTTCGCAGCGGGGGGTGGTTGGGTGGTTATGGTGGCTGTGACAGCCGAGTCGGGAACCTGGAAGCCCGGCTTCTAGCTGTCTATTTCGCTGTTTCTCTGAGCATCAACCAATTCCCTAGTTGGCGGCATGTGTGTGCGTGTGTGCTCACTCTTTGATAAAAACCGAAATTAATTATTGACGAGGATGTTGCCGCGAATGTTGCCTTTGCGTTTGCCCGTTGAAAATTTAAAAGGCGTTCGACTGAAAGCATCGCACACCGTCACACCCGCTCTCCACACTCCGCACTTCCGTTTCCGCTCAAAAGCACAGAATGTGTTTACTTTGAACTAGCGAAACTGTCAACGACAACCGCAAACTATCGGCGGTAAGAAGGACCCGCATCGTGGAAGCCCTAACCAAGCCAGTTGTGAGCAAACAAATTAGTGTTTAATTATACATAGGCAGCCGGGCGGGCCAGGGCAACCAGCAAGCAAATCATTAAACGAGAAAAAATGCATCAAAGCGGCGTAAAATGAGTGGGAAATCCAACGGCACCGACAGCCACGACAAAGACCAACAAAAACACAAACACAAACAGAAGCAGCAGCACAAGCACAAAGCTAGGCAGAAAAAGGGACAAAAAACGGGTCAGATACTAACCGCATTAGAGGATGCAGAAGCGTCCGAAAGCGGATGTGAAGCGCGTGACGGGGCCGCCCAAGCCGCCGCGTCTGAAGGCCGCGAAAAAGCAGTTGCAGTTCGAGAGTCCGCTGCCAGGACGAAGGACACGCGCCAACCAGCCGGACGACCAGTTGCAGAAACAACAACCCCAGCAAAAGGTAGCAGACAAAGTCATTGCTATGCCGGCCAGCAGCCAGGATGCGGACACGGATTCGGCAGCAGCAGCGGCAGCGGAAGCAGCAGTGGACGTGCCAGAAACAGAGCCAGTTCCATGGCCAGATCCACACCCACACCCACGTCCTCGCCCATCGCCACGAGCAAATCCCGGCCAGCTCACAGTGTCACATTCACAGTCCTCCGCCGCAAAAAAGCGTCTCGCCGAAGGCTGCACCAGTCTTATGTATGCCTGTCAGCGGGGCGACATTGTCCAAGTGCTCGCCCAAATGCGCGAAAAGGTAAGATGTAAATATACTCAAACAAAAAATGGAATTTTCTTGGCAATTTTAAAACTAAAAAGCTTAACCTTTATTTACAACACCATTGCCTACATATATAGTGTTTTATAACTTAAATCAAGTATCATTAACTTGTTTGATTAATAATTAAACATTTTTTTTTACATAACAATTGTTTAAAAATATTTAAATTTAACTTACCTAATTTTAATGACATGTTTTTTGGTATCTATCTTCTTTTATAAAACTTTCGTAACTTAAAAACCTGAAAACCATTTTAAGAGTTACATATTTTAGAGCTCACAATTTTTAGGTTTCGAATTGTAATTACTAATTCAAAAGAAAATACAAGTTTTGTAAGTGATCACTATTTATTCTTTGTGATTACATATTTGTATCGGGGAAATTAGAATCATCTTAAATTAACATATTAAAAACAATTTACCTATCCACCACTATCCTAGTACTGCTCCTGGGATATCCTTATCCCACCTGTAGTTATTCTCTGAGTGCATGCTCTGAAACTTCCAAGAGACGTCTAGTTTGGCGCATCGCAACACGTGTTAAGCTCGTTGCGAATAACAAGCCAACTGCAAGTGTGTAGTGGAACAGGACTCGGCAGATCCCGGCAAGGATAATGGCCGAGACGAGGCGGGCCAAGCATGACAAGTTGACTTCTGCCAGGCCCTCGCCTCTTTGGCTCCCAAAAAACAAAGCCAGTCATCTTTGGGGCCACGACAAAAGGCCCAAATCAGGCAAAGGCGGCGTAGCGAGATTCAAGATTCTAATCTTTCTGCAGTCACGATGAGCCGACACAATGCTTAAAGCCAGCGGAGAAATGGAGAAATGGTGAAACGGAAAACCCTTCCGAGGTTTCGGGTGTTTGGGGGGTCTTTAAATTTCCGTTGCAGTCATTTCGGAGCATTGTTCACAGTTCAGAGCCCCTAATTGCTTCATAAACATTTCTACAACAGGCTGGGGCACAACAAAGGCGAGTTGAATTTGAATGCTGTAAATGGCAGGACATTTAAAATTGACAAAATAATCCCCCAAGCTTAGTTATGCCGAGCGAATGGTGAATGCTAAATGGTCCTTCCACTCCTCGTTGCTCTCGTCCTTTTTGTGCTGGCCATCATTTGATGCCGTTTCGACCGGTCCTCCTTCCGTCCATCAAGCGCCTAAATATGCCAATTTCACATTTAATTGAAATTTGAAAAGTTTTTAATTGAACGCAGATAAATTTCCAAGACCTTCAATCGCAGCTAAAGGAGCGCTGGTCATGTCGTCGGAAGCCTTCCGTTCGGCCTTTTTCCTCCGCTGTTGCCAACGGATTGTCATGTTGCTAGTTTTGCAATTATTCGCCAGCCATTGTGAGCTTTGACAAATGCCTTCATTTCCGGCCAGTTGGCGTGCCTTCGTCCCGGTAATTGATATTGACGCCAAATTTGATGTGAAATTGCCTGGCATTGAGTATTCCGCACAGTTCGACAGCGACTTTTTGCGCAAATACTTAGATGAGACCCCTCAACCATCGACCCCTTCTGCCAGCTTTGCTCGGTTATGTAATTGCTAAATGACATTTCTGTGTTGCCTGACCTTGCTTTCGATTCACCCCGAGCCCCGTATCCCGAGCCCCCCCACAAGCAGTTTATTTGGCTGTGAAATATGGCAAATGCCGGCGATTATTACTTACTTAGGGTCGCGTACTTTATGAGTCTCAAAAACAGCAACAACCTGACCACATTTTGCATTTTTGGTTGCCAAGCTGGAAAACAAAATCAAGGCAATGAGCCTGGCGCAAATATTGGTTTTCAACTTAGGGGCAACGAGGCGTATGCGTAATGTGAGTGTAACTGCCTATGTATATTGAGCTCCAAAGGCTCTGCTTTTCAAATGGCGTACTTGAATGCTTAGAGCAAGCTCGCGGTTCAAGGTAATTTCTCGGCAAGTTCAGTAAATCTGTATATAATTACGTCGCCAGTCGCACTGCCTGCTATTATTAATGTTGGCTGCGGCTATATTGTTGTTCGCCCTATTCGTATTGCTGTTCTCGTTGTTTATTCTGTTATATCTTGTGCCTGTGAGACATAATTTAATTTGTCTTGTCTCTGCATGTCTGTGTCTCTACAGCCTTGATAAGGCCGCCTAAGCTATTAAAAGTTTTAATGTCTTTAATTTGCCGTCTTCTCTGGCCAACAGTTTGTGTTTTTTTTTATTTTTGTCGTAGAATAATTAAACAGCTCCACTTGGCTTTGTCGCCTTTTGTTGCTGCCTGCTTAGCGCATCTATATTTTTGTGGATTTATTTTAATTGCGCTTATAGTCTGAAGCAGCCCTTGGAACTCTATGACTTGCTCTCTTTATTGGTTTTCTGTGTTTTCGATTTATTGCTGTGTTCAACATGGCGTATGAGTAACAACTATTGCAGAGCTCTCCTCTGCTGGGACCAAAGCATCTTATACACACACTTAATATATATATATATATATATATATTTATATATATATATATGTACAGGGACATTGGCTTTTGTACACACACACGTGCACAACTCAACGCTGCTTGCTTCTCAGCTTTTTGAGAGCACTCAAGCAACATTCATCGACGTTGTTTACTCGCCTGCTATTGTTTTGCTTAAACTTTTCATTGATGTTGGTTTTTCCAGCCACCCCTCAATATCTCGAGCTTTCGTCTTTATTGTCTGCTGGCGCTGTCTTTGTTGTTGCTGCTGTTTTTACCAATTAAGTCTTAATTTCTTAGAAAATAAAACTTTTTGGCTCGCGGCATTGTTGCTGCCTGTTGTGAATTCGTCGAGCGCCGTTCACCCGCCCTCCGTTAGTTAATGTTAATGGCGTAATTGTGCCACCTCGGCGTCGAGGTCAGTTGTTGCCATTGTTGTTGTGGGCTACAGCTCCAGCTTCCGTCACTGCTACTGCTTCTGCTCCTGCCATCAACTTTAAACCGCAATTTAGCCGAGAGTTCGAAACTGAAGTTTTACACCGCAAGTTGGTAATTGTATGTCTACCTAGGTGTGTATGTGTGTGTGTACCGCTGGCTGCCATCCCTCAGATTGCTGCAGGTGTGAATTATTTATTTTCACTTAAGATTTGCGGCGGAGCAGGACCTGGCTCCTTGGAAACTCAACCCCAACTCCCCTGCTAACCAGCGGCCCCTTTTCGCTTTTACAGCTTTAAGCAAAAGTTTTCGCTCAAAAGTCAGCTGCAGAAGTTGATTTTAGCCGAGCCAGAGCCGCAAGAGATGCTTTTGTTTGTTGCAAATAATATAATAACAAAGCAAGCCGCCAACTTTGTGAGGGAGTGCCGAACAGAGCAGATGCCCATTGCAGTTGCAAAGCATTATATATGGTGAAAATCAAATGGGATTAATTTAAAAAATATTATTAAACATATTTACATTATTAGAAATGGACAAAATTTTAAATTCTTTAGCTTCATAACTTACTCTTCACTTTCACATTATTACAAGGAAATGTCTACATTTTTCCTGAAGGTTAGTTATTAAACAGTGTATATGTAATAGAACACTTACATGGTCTCAAAACGCAAATGCTCAGTTTTTAGCTGTTTTACTGGGTATGCTGGACCTGGGGGAAAAGCAAATGGGAGTTTTGTGCGGTCCTGGGACTCCTAGAAAGTTGTCGTTCAAAATTAATTTGTTATTCAGAACGCCTTGTTTTTCCACCTTAAATATTGTAGCACCGGGCTGCTTAGAGAATGTAGTTTACACTCTGCACAGTTTCCATTAGCTGCGATTAATTGACCTTCGGTTGGCATTTTTTAATTGCCCTCGCTCGGAGCTCTTTCTTCCTCCTGATTTTTTCGCCATTGCCGCTCAATCAACGTGGAAATTATTATCAATTTGGGCGAAATGGCGAGCAGAGGACTTGGTGGCTGATGCAATCGGCAGTCGTCCGCCGGATCCTCTTCCGGTGCTGGTGCTGGTTCCTTTGCCACGGCCACGGCTGGGTAATTTTAATTGCGATTTTTCCAACCCATCCGACGCGCCAACAGCGCTCAACACGTTTGGCACATTTTGTTGAAAATTCATTAAAAATGACGTCGGAAAAGTTTGCATTTCACCCAGTTTCTCCCTCGTTTATTCAGAGTGAGTAGCTCTGGCTGTTCAATCGTTCTTTCATTTGATTTGCCTTTGCCGCTGACATTCAGATTACTTTCACGCTATCTATTTAACTTCTGTTGAGTCATTTGAATTTTTAATTAATCGCTCGCCAGTTAAGCCAAAAAAAAGTCAGGTAAGGAGGAGGAGTGACTGAAATGCAATCAGCGTTAAAGGATGTTCATGTCCCCACTAAAGACCTCCGATTGGATCGAAATATTTGACCCTAGACTGACCCCCGACATTTGCATGCGATTTCGACAGTTTTGCATGTCCGAATACAATTAATTAGGCTGCGAGGCCGAGGCCCAACAAATGTCCAAATAAAAGTCAGTGCCAATGAGTTAAATTAATGGCAAAGGGTGCGGGTTTGAGGTTTCGGTCATCATCAAAAGTTGGCTCCGGCTGGCTAATTGAGCACAAAAACCCATTTCCAATTGGGTGAAGCTCCAAAGTTGGCCAACGGAACACCATATGCTGCGGCTTAGCCGGACAGCCGTCCAATTAATTAGAAACCACCAGAAATAGCAGGCGGACTATGACGAAGATGACTCTCTGTACTAGCTGCCTGACTGACTCACCGAATTACTGACCGACCAAAGTTTGCAATGGCAAATTAATTACTGAAATCGTAGAAATTTGTCTTGCAATGGAAGCTCATTGCTGTTTGGCTCTCGAGATGACTTCCTGGCCAGAAGTTGCCCAGTTGCTCAGTTGCCCAGGACCAAGTTGGCCAACTGGAGTTGGGACACATATAGGATATCCGTGTATGAATTTGTCCGCTCCTGCAACCATTTTTGCTCAAGGAAGCGCCCGGCGGGCTAATCACAGGCGAGATGTGAGATGGGGCCAAAACTTTTGCCT